GTAATGTGTTAATAGATATGACAGGAGATAATTGGGGTAACTGCCAGAATCCTGACAGCTTCATTGTTTTAGACAAAACTGAACTGATCACAGACCTTGGTTACTGTCTTTGAGAGATAATGCAATTGGGCCATCATGGTCAGAAAGGGTTCCTTTCTTTTGCTTCCAGGTGCCATTTCAGATCTCCCAAGGGCCTTTAGGGTAAACGATATTGCACTTGTCATCTGCTTCCAGTTTAAATTTGGTCCTCTTTTATCAGTTCATTTGGGCTGTAAATTAATTTTTAGATATTTCCAAGAAAGAAGCACTACTGTATGAGAAACCACAGAACTGATGAGAGCTTGCAATAAATATTTGCCTCCTTAAAATTTGTATTTTGGATAGAGAAACATATGCATAGAACACTATAGGTATAGAAATATTATTTATTGGCCAAGTTTGGTTGGACATTTGTCTCTGTGGGATATTGTCTGTCTACTGTATCCCATTTATTTTTGCTTAGCAAAACTCAAAGAAATGAAGAATGTTTTTCCCATCTGTCATCTTATTTTGTCAGTTCTTGGTAGCTCTTTTCACACAGAAAGAACCATATGATATATAATTATTTCCAACATAGCAGCACGTGAATAATGTATGTAAGGATTGATGATGTGATTTTTTAAAAATACAGAGCTCTATTGGGAGCTCTATTCAAGTCAATTACCATAGAATACATAGCCATAGTGTCTTCTGCTTCAGCAGGGAGTTGGATTAGCTGACCTCGAAAGGTCCCTTCCAGCTCTATTCTGATTGAGTTAAGATTACAGGTAGTCCTTGAGTTATGACAGGTCACTTAGCAATGGTTCAACCCAGTCCTGAAGTTACATATGTTGCAGCACCCCTGTAGTCATTCGGCCTTATGACTGACCAGAGAAATGCTGCAATATGTCCCCACCATCTATTTCCCCACCATCCTCCTGAAATGCATACAGCATTTGCTGGGAGAAGGAGACAATGTGTAGGAAGGGAAGAGTTTTGCTGGCTGCATGCATCCACTGGGAGAAGGAGATGAGCCCCTAGGAAGGGTAGAGTTTAGTCTCTGCCTGTATGCCTTCCGTCCTCCCACCATTAGCCAGGGACTGAAAGCAAACAGCAAGGAAGGGAAGGAAGATTTCTCTGCTTCACCATTTGCCTTTGCTAGTGGAGTGAAGGTTAACATTTAAAAGGAGAGCGGAGCTGATGTTGCGGCAATACGACCGAATCCCTAGGGGCTCCTAGGGAGTACATCAAAATCCTGACAGCCGGTGGTCTATTGGCTCTAAATTGCCTGGAGGGATGACGATGGAGTAGAGGACACTCTGCTGATCTCAGGGACACCACAATATTCCTGGTAGATCCAGAGACAGCCTCTCTAGCTGACTTGAAAGGAAAGCAGTCATCGTGAACTGCTACAAGGCTGGGGCAGTATCTGATGGAAAGAAAAGAGAAAGTGTGGCCAATCTAGGTGAGAATTTAAAACTTTTTAAATATCAAAGAAAAGAGGCCCCTGGGAAGAACAGGAAAAAGAGAAAGCCAGAATTAAAGGGTGGTGGGTTGATATCCCACCCCCCCGGCCCCCTGGAAGAAAGTGGTGAGGAAAGCAGTTTTTGGTGCAAATAGAAAGAGGAAGCCATTAATTATGGAGTAAAGAACAGAAAATACTTTTAAATTATTTTAAAAACTGGACTGGACTCTTTGAACTTACAGAATTAAGCTAAGAAGACTAAGAAAAGAAAATTGGATTTACTTTTGTTCTTGAATTACTTTTTTTCCTGACTTTTTATATAAGTATAATTTTTAAAGTTAAAAGGGAAGGCAGTGCAACAGTGCTACCTACAGGGAAGAAGAATTAAAAAACAGAGAGAGAAGGAGATATGATTATTGGACTATTAGGCTGACCTTGACAGCTGTAAAAAGTGAAGATAAAGATATAATTGTTTACAGAGACAGAGGGTTACACTGAGAATGTATATTGAAAACAGTGTGACTCTTGGACACTAAAAGAAACAAAGAAGATACAAAGAAACAGAAACCAGAACTCCTTCTGAACTGTTTGGATTAATTGTTTTTGTGAGTTGCTTTGATTAATGTGACAAAATTGCACTGTGGAATTTAGCAAAGAGAAGCAATTGAAGGCTGGATGCTGAGACTTGGTGATATAAGGTGAATTGCAACTGGATAATTAAATCATATCCTTCCTAGCAGATATTAACATACAAATCTTATTTTTTTTTATTTTTTTCTTTCCTTTTTGAATATCTTTTTACTATTTTTTTCTTTTCTTCCTTTCTTTTTCTGTACTTTTCCCTTTTTAAAAAAAAACCTAATTTTTGTATTTTCCTTTTTTATTATATACCATTTTACAAGGAGATGGATATTGCTTCTTTTCTCTCTCCTTGCTTTCTTTCCTTTTGTTAGCCATTTTCATTATCATTTTTTTTCACTCTCTTTTAGCTAGTTATGAAGGGGGAAAACTATATTTATTTTTACTTTTTATTTATAATTGAGATTTTTTTTTTACTTTGGATACTACTTTTACCTTCTCTTTGGATTGTACAACATTACTTATATGGAATACATTGGATTAGGGTGTAGTTCCCAAAGTGGGTGGTACCACCCCCTGGGGGGGTGGGATGCCTTAGGGGGGCACTAAGAGGCAAGGGGGGTGGCTGGGGGGGTGCTAAGAGGTGGCAGGGGGGCATTCGAGGTGCCGGCGCTGCAGGTTCACCCATTGACTAGCACCACTCTAGAGCTGGCACCTCCAATGCAGAAGCGGTGGCACATTATGTGCCACCGCGGCCGCGTTTAACATGCCTCCTCCTGCTGCCTCTTAGCACCCCTCTTCCGGCCCCCTTGGGGATGCTAAGAGGTGGCAGGGGGGCATTCAAGGTGCCGGCCGGCCCTGCAGGTGCACCCATTGACTAGCACTGCTCTGGAGCTGGCGCCTCCAATGCGAAAGTGGTGGCATGTTATGTGCCACTGTGGCCATGTTTGACATGCCACCCCCTGCTGCCTCTTAGCACCCCCCTGCTGCCCCCCTTGGGGATGCTAAGAGGAGGCAGGGGGGCATTCGAGGTGCTGGCCCTGCAGGTTCACCCATTGACTGTAGTAACGCTTGGAGCCAGCACCTCCAATGCAGAACTGGTGGCACGTTATGTGCCACTGTGGACATGTTCAATGTGCGTCCCCCCTGCCACCTCTTATCATCCCCAAGGGGGCCAGCAGATGGACACTAAGAGGCAACAGGGGGGCGTTTGAGGTGCCAGCCCTGCAGGCTCATCCCATTGACTGTTGTACCGCACTGGAACCGGCGCCTCAAATGCGGCAGCGCATTGGGAAAAGCTGCCACTACCACTTTCCCAAAGTGCCACCACTGTTGCATTCTGTCTGTCTGTCTGTCCGTCCGTCTGTCCATCTGTTCATCCATCCACCCAAAAGGTCTTTCTGTTTGCCTGCCTGCCTTCCTGCCTACCTATCTGTCTTTCTGTCTACCTACCTACCTACCTATCCATACATACATCCCAAAGATCTCTCTGTCTTCCTGCCTGCCTACCTACCTACCTATCTACCTATCTACCAATATAGATCTATCTATCTATCTATCTATCTATCTATCTATCTATCTATCTATCTATCTACTTACCTACCTACCTACCTACCTACCTATCCATCCATCCATCCATCCATCCATCCATCCACAAGGTCTGTCTTACTGCCTGCCTACCACCTACCTACCTATCTATCTACCAATATATCTATCTGTCTGTCTGTCTGTCTGCCTGCCTGCCTGTCCCCCCTATCTCCCTCCCTCCCTCCATCCATCCATGTTTGAAGAGCCGCCCCCGCAAGCACATCGGGAAAGTAGATCAAAGTCAGTCTGGGAGGGAGGGAGGGAGAGAGAGAGAGAGAGAAAGAGAGACCTGATGCATCAGATTGAATGAGGCCTAGTTTAGACTGAGGCCCTTTTCCACTTTGAAACATCTTTGCCAGCATATTGAAACCTCTTTGGCTTCTATTAAAAGTTTTGTGGACGAAACATGGTCAAGACTATCAGGAAGCTCTCACATTTTGTTGAGGCTTTAAACAGGATCCATTGGACCAGATCTCCACCCTAAAAATTGCTTTTCCCCAATGTATTACAGTGTTAATTCTGAAGAAGGCAAAACCAAAATGTACTGGTAAATTACAAGAACACACACACACACACACACACACACACACACACACACACACTCCCTTCTAACCCTGCTGGAGCAGGTGATTGGACTAGAATAGATATCTCATTATCTTTCTCCTCCCTCTCTCCCTCCCTCCTTCTTTATTTCTTTTTCTTTCTGTCCCTTCCTTCCATCCCCCTTCTTTGTCTGTCCCTTTTTCTTTCTTTCCTTTTCTCTTTCTTTTCTTCCTCTCTTCCTCTCTTTCTTTTCTCTCTCTCTTTCCCTCTCTCAGGCTCACCCCTTTAGATCAGGGGTCGCCAAACTTTTGGACCTCAGGGACCACCAAACTCATAATTTTAATCCCGGAGACTATTAATATGAATTTTGACTGACAGTGGCTTTCTGGTGTTGGTGGGAGAGAGAGAGGGGGGGGTCGGATCCAACTTCTCTCTCTGCCTCCCTCTCTCACACACACAGGCAGGGGTGGGATTTAGACCCCTGATCTAAAGCTTTCAAAACTCCAAAAACAGATCAAATAGCTCTGGGGAGGCCAGTCATAAATTAGAACACTTGCTAAACAACCGGCCATTAATTGAGGACCACTTGTATTTGGTTTGCCAGTCACATGATCAGCAAGCCACACCCTCAAATTAGGCCATGCCCACAGAAATTTTAATCCCACCCCTGGGTGGAGGGCACCAAGGATGAGTTTGTAGCATCAAGGGGGTGGTGGACTTAAAAAGTTTGGGAACCACTGCACTACAGCATATATTACAGTATTCTAGGATGAGGCATTTACCTTTCTTCAACTTTGTTCTTCTGTAGGAGATATCCTGCGGTCAACCTTCATCTTGCAAGAGTCCTTTAGGTGTGAAGGGAGTAACTTTTATGTTCCTGACTGTCTGGCATATTGGGAGTGAGACTATGTGGCACTTTGTTAATCCTCCAAGGAACTGTTATATATGAATGGAATTATTTAGTATCAAAAATTCTAACTAATTTCACACCCAATTATTTAAGGATAGTTTTCCAAGAAATTTAGTTTTACATTGAACTCATTATTTTTCTCCAAAAATGGAAGATAAAGCAGAATTAGATATATTGAAAATAAAAGGTATGTGTCCTAAAATGATAGTTCCATGTTGCTTATCATTCCTTTCTGATGGAGTTTAATGAAACTCACCATGTGATGTCCCAGTACTCCATCTTTTCCTATATGTAACTATGAGGAGGAATATTTGATAAATTTATAGTGGCTCTTCTCACAATATATTTCATCCAGCCAGCCAGATCTTTTTAATAGACTGCATATAGGTAATTGTCCTATTACCATAGTGATTTAAAAAGTCACCCATCACTGAAATGAATTATTAAATGAATTATTTGAAATAGCACAAAGCTTTTCTGCATTACTGTTATTTTAACAATTATTAAACCAACAATGGTTAGATAATTCTAGAAGATATAAGTTACTAGTGATAATTGCTACAAACATTCTAACTGAATCAAAACACACTGTATTGATGATATAAATGTCTGTACACTTCTCAAAGCTTCAGGAGATCATTAGTATGCTCCACTAAAGGCCTTATCCTTTTCTCTATATACCTCTGTAAAACTTGTGGCACCCCAATTTCTATTTTATTTATTTATTTGATTTGTCAATCGCTTACAAGATAATAGGTATAAGTACAAACATGAAATGGATACATATAAGAAAAATAAAAAGAATCAATAGGATAGGGATGGTAGGCATGCTGGTGCGCTTATGCATGCCCCCTACAGACCTCTTAGGAAAGGGGTGAGGTCAATAGTAGACAGTCTAAGCTAAAGCTAAAGTTTTTGGGGTTTGGGGAAAAAAAACCACAGAGTCAGGTAGAATATTCCAGACATTGACCACTCTGTTGCTGAAGTCATATTTCCTGCAATCAAGTTTGGTGCAATTAACCTTGAGTTTGTATCTATTGTGTGCTCTTGTATTGTTATGGTTGAAGCTGAAGTATTCATTGACAGGTAGGACATTGCAATATATAATTTTATGTACAATACTTAGATCGGACCGAAGGTGACATAGTTCTAGGTTTTCTAGGTCTAGAATTTCAAGTCTGGTGGCATAAGGTATTCTGCAACGAGTAGAGGAGTGGAGAACTCTTCTTGTGAAATATTTCTGGACTTTCTCAACTGTATTAATATCAGATGCGTAATGTGGGTTCCAGACTGATGAGCTGTAATAGAGTATTGGTCTAGCAAATGTTTTGTATGCTCTAGTTATTAATGTAACTTTCTCTGGTAATATAGAGAAAAAGCTACATAAGATTAGGTTAACAACTCTTAACGCCTTTTTGGCTATGTAGTTACAGTGGGCTCTAGCACTTCGATCATTAGAGATGAGTATTCCAAGGTCCTTGACAGAGTTTGGATCATCAACAAGGTCTTGACTTGTATTTTATTTTCTTGTATTTTATTTTCTAATTTTTTTTTTGCTAATATGTAAGACAGGGCATTTATTTGTTGAGATTTGAAGTTTCCATTTGTTTGACCATTCTGATACATAGTCAAGGTCTTTTTGAAGGGTAGCAGTATTATCTGTGGTGTTGAATAGCTTTACATCATCAGCGACGAGAATGCAGTTGCTCTTAAGATGATCACAGAGGTCATTTATGTAGAGTATGAAGAGAGTTGGTCCTAGAACACTGCCTTGGGGGACACCACTATTGACAGGTACAGAATTTTATAGGATGCTCCCAATTGTGACCATTTGTTGTCTGTTTAACAGGAATGCTTCTATCCAGTTATGCAGGTGTCCAGAGATACCATAAGATTTTAGTTTTAGGAGTAGTTTGTCGTGTACCACTGAATCAAAGGCTTTACAGAAGTCTGTATAAATTGCGTCTATTGCTTTGCCCTGATCGAGTTGTGTAGTCCATATGTTTTTGCAGTGTAAGAGTTGCAGATTACAGGATAGTTTTTTTCTGAAACCAAATTGTTTATTATAGAGTAGGTTGTTTGTCTCTAAGTGGAGGATAATGGATTGGTTAATAATTGATTCCATGACTTTACAGGTGACGCAGCATAAAGAGATTGGTCTATAATTTTCATCTAGATTGGGGTCTGTTGTACCCTTCTTTTTTTGGACATATTCTGAGTGCAGGTAGCAGGTGCTTTATTAGCTATTCTATAGCATTTATAGACTTTATGATACCAGCACATAGCTATTGTCAGATAACTTTGTATTTCTCTGATCCAGCATGAATGTGGTGTCCTCCCTTCTTATTTGGACAAAAGTTTTCTTAAATGCATGACTTGTGACGCTTTGCTGTAACAACAAAGCAGAGGCTTGGATCTGCCCTACTATTCCTGGCTGCTTTTGACTCTTTCCCTGTTTTCTCCCCATAGTTTGGACTACAGGAATTATTATATGCTTATGTAATGATTCATACTTTGCGAAACAAGCATTATGTGGGTACTGCATGGGAGTGGAGATCTTACAAGAAACTGCTACACATATGTAAAAACTGTCCTACCTGATAGGCAGTTTGTGTGACATAGTTGAAATGGAATTCTAATTTGTCAACACCCTCCATCAGCTATTTTTAAGCAAAGCAAGAGAGATAGTGAATAAAAATGAGCAAGGGGTTGAAATAACACGAGAGAGATAGCTGCAGAAAATAATCATGTGGCAAGAGAAGGACAAAGGATCAAGAAATTGTAAGAGAAGGAAAGCGAGTGGTGCACAAGAGAGAAAAATGAGACTGAAAACAGAAGATGGAGAGGGAAACAAAAAGAAAAAATGGAGAAAAAACAATATGAGTGCAAGGAAGCTGCAATTCCTGGTCTGCAGGATGAATGGAAGCTTCCTTATAAAGCAGATCTAAAAGATGGCCAAACTCCAGGGTCTACTCATCTGTCAGATTTTGCCCCTCCCTCAACCTGAGGTGAGGTGAGATAGAACAATTGGAACTTGTTTTATTTGCCAGGCAGGTAGGAATAGGGAAACTGCAACCACCAATCACTGCTGACCCACATTCAGTTCTTAGGAATCTACTAATTTTCCATGTTAATGAGGAAGGCTGTGGGGACAGACCAGATTTATGCTGGCACACATTGTGCTACTTCACAGACTGATGGCCTTCAAACTTTTTTTCAGCTATCCTTCTTTCCTTTTTTGTGGGGATGGGTGATGGAAGTGCATCAAGGAACCAAACTGAGTTTAAGTACAAGTTTTGTTCTAAAAGAAAAAAATCCTTTCTTTTAGATTTTAATAAGGTAGATATATGAATTAATTAGATTGCTACCTCACATGAATTTGGTTTTGAAATGTTGGTTCCAGATGACCCACCAAACTTCATTGCCAAATAGGGATTTCAGTTTGGCTCTTTCTGATCTGAGTTCATTGTTTTTTCTTATTATACCTGACCTGGTATCACATAGTAATTAAAAACTTTGAAGATTGTTGGGCTTCAGTATCCTTCTGTTTCTGTGTTGATGAGGTATGTTAGAAATTAAAGTTGCTGTGGGAGCTTATGGAAAATTATTTCTTCTTTATTTTTGGTAGAGCTGAAAATTCAGAACTAGAATTTTTAAAAAGAATGGATGAAATAATCTTGCTTACTGGCATGAGCAAGAAAAGGACCGAGACCCCTGGCTCCCAGGACTGTGAATGCAAAGAAATTGTGGAGTCTGTCACTGTGCCTTTATCTCAGCACTACTTGGCTCTAGGGGATTATAGTCGGGCTTTTTATTACCTGTTGGAATCTGCATCTGCTTATGTCAACCACTCCCACAACTACATGGTAAGTAGGAACACCCATTCTTTTCTCTTCCAACCAGCTTCTTCATTACTCTTACAGCAAAGGATACTCCAGATCACGGATGTCAAACTCACAGCATCACGTTGCTATCAGGTGATGTTCATAATGTTTTTCCCATTCGTGGAGCTGGGTGAGCCTGCACATGACGTATCTGGCCTTCCAGTCAGTCTTGATTCCTGGCAATTGCCTGGATTAGTCCAGGAAGTTTTCTTGGCAGTGATTTTCAGAAGCAATTCTTCATTGTTTCCTTCCTAGGGCTGGGAGAAATGACTGAGCCAAGCTCACCCAACTTGTGCCTAAGACGGGGTCTCATGTCTTCAGTCACTATACCCAACTGTTTCTCTATGAATATAAATGACCTGTTTACAGATTAAAGTAACCTTTTCCATGTAGCTGAAAAGCAGTTACTGTTCAAATCTGAACAGGAGTTTAATAGAAAAATTACAAGAAAAAATGAAATGCTCCAAATTCATTTTCCTTGCCAAAACCTTTGTAAAAAAAAGATTGGAGAATGTTCAAAAACTTGTAACAGACTGCAAGAGTATGAGTCAATCTAGCATGCTGACAGCTAATGAATGACTTGTCAAGCTTTTATTATGCTAAATTTTAGTGCTAGGGGAACATGCCACTTGGCAAATCAGCATATTTTGTTCCCCACTTTTATATTTAAAGTAAGCTTGTTCTCTCTTTTCTGTCTGGGTGGGTATGGCTAACTAAAATACTGTTAAACCTGGCAAGTTGTTGGGCCTTGCCAAAATAACAAAGACCCAAATCACTTCCCCCTCTGTAAAAAAACTGAACTGGTTTACCAGGTTATCTTTTTCTATATGGTGAATAGATTCTAGATGGTGAATACATGCTACGTCTTCATCTTGGATTCACCTCCTCTATGGTATCTGAGTATTTGTTTTTGAAAATTTATAATATATGGTGAGGGAATTGATAGTAGTTGGGGATCACCATATATCATGCAGAAATGAATTTTTCCTGTTCTGTTATTCTTATTTGAGGCCTTTACATATCTGAATACAGCAGAGAGCCTCTTGAGATCTTCGGAATTCAAGCATAAACTCATTAACCAATTTGAGGTGTCCATTTTGTACAGCCTGAAGGGAGAGGTAAGACAATTGTGTCTGGCTATAGCCATTTGCATACTTACCTCTTCTCTGAATACAGTAAAGCCCACTAGAATATCCCATTCTCTACAGCTGCTCAATCAGAAGTACAGTATTACTTCAGTTGTCATTTTATTATATGGTCTCCCTTCATGCCACTTGCTGTAACAGAAATTCTTCCATTGCTACTTGTAATGATCAGTAAGCCTCTCCCTAAATTTAGATTTATTAGAGAAATGTCCTCAGAAGCTTTTCACAATTAGTTCATTGATTTGTCAGGTACGACACACCCCTTGATCTTGCTGGTTTTTTACAAGGCTTCTGGATATAATTCTGACATATCCTTTATCTCCCTGTGCTCCTTCCCCCATCTCTGGGGCACCCATGAAAACAGAGAAGATATATAGGAAGCAGGTAGAAGACCCTACAAAGTGCTGTGTCTTCTGCTTCTATGCTATATAAAGATACAAAAATAATTTCATAGAAGTGTTTAGTACAAAAGAAGTCTCATTATTTTTTCTTGGCTGATTTAAATATATATTCTTGTGTTTTAAGCAGAGGTGGTATTCAGCAGGTTCTGACCAGTTCTGGAGAACCAGTGGCAGAAATTTTGAGTAGTTCGGAGAACCAGCAAATACCACCTCTGATTGGAGATTTTACAGTATCCTTCCCCATCAAGCCATGCCCACAAAACCAGTAGTAAAAATTTTTGAACCCCACCACTGGTTTTAAGTAGATTTAGCCATGCTGCAAGATCGTGATTTTATGAGGAGAGGTCTTTTAGGCATCATAAAGGAGATATACAAAAAAAATCATAATTTCTTTTATTATTATCTGTCTGCATGTCTATAGGTCTGTTACAATATGGGTCAAATTACTTCTGCAAAAAAACTGCTAAAGAAGGCTTTGAGCTTACTGAAGAAAAGCTTCCCAATAACTGTTGTAGGAGCCTTTTGCATGTTTATGGTGGAAACCTCCAAACATTTGTCTCATCAGAACAAACAAACTTTATGGCAAATATCCAGTGGGTAAGGATACTCACAAACTGTTTATAAAGGCTGAGGGTGGATGGGCTGCAGTGGGAGAAGGGAGCATTTTAGAACAGAACAGAACAGGAATTGGAAGGTACCTTGGTCTTCTAGTCCAACCCCCTGCTTAAGCAGAGACCCTATACCTATGATGGAGAACCTATGGCATGCAGAGCCATGCTGTCATCTCAGCTCAGTTCCACTGCACCCGCGCACACGCATGTACCTCCTACTCGTCAGCTGATTTTCAAGTTATGCCATTCATGCGCAGGGTGGGGCACATGCGGGAGATACATGCGCACATGCGCATGCATGGGGGCAGGGGGCACAGGGAGGGTGCAGTGCAGCCCCCCACATTCCTGGTTTTGAGCCTAGTAGGCCCCCTTGCAGCCTCCAGGGAGCAAAGATAGGGTGCGGGGGTTGTGCGACCTGTTTTTGCTCCCAGGAGGCTGCAGGGAGTCTTACTAGGCTCAAAACAGGGAGCGCGGGGGTCACGTGTACATGCACAGGGGTGGGGGGTGGAGTATGGGGGGGTCACGTGTGCATGCACAAGCAAGTGGGGTGAGCAGGAAGGGTCGTGTGCACATTGCATTATGTGGGTACAGGCACGCATGTGTGCTATTACATGCGTATGCGCACACTTTCAGCACATGATGACAAAAAGGTTAGCCATCACTGCCCTATAGCATTCTGGACAAAATGGCTGTCCAATCTCTTCTTTAAAAACTCCAGTGATGGAGTACTCACAACTTCTGAAGGCAAGCCGTTTCACTGGTTGATTGTTCTCATTGTCAGGATTATTTTCTTTAGTTCTAGGTTGTTTCTCTCCTTGATTAGTTTTCACCCATTGCTTCTTGTCTTGCCTTCTGGTGCTTTGGAAAATAGGTTGACACCCCCCTCATCTTTGTAAGAGTCCCTCAAATATTGGAACCATTCTATCATGTCTCCCCTAGCCCTTCTTTTCACCAGCCATACCTAATTCCTACAATCAAACAATAAATATCTAAAGCAATCATTAATAAAAATAAAAATAATCATTCAAATATGCAAAATACACAGGAGAGAATGAATAACAGAATAAGAGAGTTGAAAGGGACCTTGTAAGTCTTCTAGTTTAACCCCCTACTTAAGCTGAAGACCCTATACCCATGATGGCAAACCTATGGCACGCAGAGCCACTTCTGCCGGCATGCGAGAGGTCGCCTGGAAGAGCCCCACTGCACATGCCTGTGCACTGCCTGCCCAACAACTGATTGTTGGGTATCTGGCGCTCCTGTGCAAGGGGCGGGAGGGGCGCGGGAGATGCGTACACATGCACAGAGATGCATGGGATACACAGGGGGATCGTGCACACATGCACAGGGGGCAAGGGGTGTGTGCACTTTGCCTACTGGGTGCTGGCACAGGAGACAAAAACGGTTAGCCACTACTGCCCTAAACCATTTCTGGCAAGTGACAATCCAAGTCTCTTCTTGAAAGCCTCCAGATATTAACTTCTAAGGGCAAGCTGGTTGATTGTTCTTACTGTCAAAAAAATTCTACTTATTTCTGGGTTGAATTTGTCAGTTTCCATCCATTGTTTCTTGCCTGGACTTTTGGTGCTTTGGAAAATAGGTGGTCCCCTTCCTCTCTATGACAGCCCCTCAAATATTGGAACACTGTTATTAAAAAAAACCTGATTTTTTTTCCAACCCTCAGGTGGTTCCCTGGTGCCAATAGATTTTTGAAAGATATTACGGATTAACATAATTGGAAGGGATTTTGTAGGTCATCTAGTCCAATCCCCACCCAAGCAAGAGACCCTGCACCATTTCTGACAAATGGCAATCCAATCTTTTCTTGAAAGCTTCCAGTGATGAAACTCCCACAATGCCTGAAGGCTGTTCTATTGGTTGATTGTTCTTACTGTCAGAAAATTTCTCCTTGTCTTCTACATGGAATCTCTCCTTGATCAGCTTCCATCCATTATTCCTTGTCTGACCTTTCCAAGGCCTTGGAAAATAGCTTGACCCCCTCCTCTCTGTGGCGGCTCCTCAAATATTGGAACACTACTATCACGTCTCCTCTGGTCCTTTTCTTCACTAGACTAACCATGCGTAGTTCTTACAACCATTTTTCATATGTTTTAGCCTCCAGGCACGTAATCAACTTTGTTGTTCTTCTCTGAGATTCTTCTTTTGAGAATCTCAACATGTTTTTCATAGTGTGGTGACCCAAACTGGATGCAGTATTCTACATGTGGCCTTACAAAGGCTTTATAGAGCAGTACTAGTACCTCATGTGATCCTGATTCAGTCCCTCTGTTAATGCAGTCTAGGATTGCATTGGCTTTTTTGGCAGCTGCAGCACTCCGTTGGTTCATATTTTAGTTGATTGTCCACTAGGACTCAAAGATCCCTCTCACAGTTACTTCTATTAAGCCATGTTTCACCTAAATTGTACATGTACTTTTGGTTTTTCTTGCCTAAGTGTAAGACTTTACCTTTCTTTACATTGAATTTCATTTTGTTAGATAGAGCTCAGTGTTCAGGTTCATCTGGATCTGAACCCTATCACCTAGGGTGTTTGCTATTTCTGCCATCTGAGTATCATCTGCAAATTTGATAAGTTCCCCTTCATCTAAGTTATTTATGAAGATAGTGAAGCGTACTGGGACCAAGATGGAACCTTGTGGTACACCACTGCTTATACTTCTCCATGTAAACATTGTACCATTAAGGCTACTCATTGACAGAGGTGGGATTCAGCCAGTTCAGATTGATTCGAGTGAACCAGTTAAACTTTTGCGCAGTTTGAAGAACTGGCTAATTGCACCACTGTCTGGCCCTGCCCAATCCACCCACCCCTTCCCTCTTCTCCCAGTCACTCCTTATTTCACCTCACCTGCCTAGGCTGCCTGCCTAGAGTCACACCTGTGACATAGCTGCTGCTGCTCTCTGGTTCCCACGTTTGCCTTGTGTTGTAGCTCGGAGTGGTCCTCCTTAACAAGCCTCAAACCGTTGTTGCTCCTCCAAGCCTGGGTTCTCTGCAGTAGCACTGGAAGAAAGGGAGTCCAATTTTGGTGGGGATAGGGCTCTACCCCAGTCATGTGTTTTCCAGCCTGGACTGCTTGGAGTGAAAAGCATGCAATATGCTGCCGCTCCCAGGTTTCCTGCACAAGCAGTCGAAGAAAGGTAGTCTTATTGTGAGGGCAGGCGTTTCCAAGGCCGATCCTAGAGGGAAACAGAGATGAGTGCCCCTTGCCTCCTCGCAGCTCTAATTCTTAAAAATTTTAGCTAGTAGTGAATAGAATCTAATCAGAGATGCTTTGCTGATTCTTGTTGATTTGTTTTATTTGTATTTCTTTATTTTATGTTGCTGAATTGCATTGACATGTGTGTCCCTTCTTGTACACAGTCCAGAAGCTTTTCTGATTCTTTGCAACAAAAATTACTGACCTCTGGCTTTGCTCTACTTTTCAAATGTGCTGCCACTGCCGCGTTCTAGGTGCCATCCTCGCAGGTCCACCCTGTTGAGCCTGCTGCACCGAAGGGACCTGCCCAAGCAAGTCCGAGTGGAGCGGCAGGGAAAGGGTGCAAGCCATTCCCCCCACCCACCCATGCCTCCTAACCCCAATTCCACCTCCATGCACGCGTGCCCCTTGCCAACCTACAGAAGGCTGCTGGGAGTGGGGTGGTGTTGTCCCAGACCCCAGACTGAGTGGATGGGTGGGTGCAGGAGACTCCTTAATCCGGATTGCAACTGGGAAAGGGTGCAACCTTGTTCTGTTTTTCCCTACCCACCATCCTTTCCCCAATTTTCCTGGCTTGGGGAAAAAACAGTGCTGCTTTGCCCCCCATCAGTCTGTTCCCATGCATACGCACATGTGCTCCCGCTCACCCACTCACCCATCCACTTTGCACCAACAGGGCATCCTCCCCCCCACCTCCCCCCTGCACTGCTGCCCTCCACCATGCAGGTGCCCTTCTCCCTTTGCTGAACCTGCTCCTGGCAGGGCAGAGGCGCAGTGCACCCGGCCCCGCTGTGCACCCATCCCATTAATCCCAGCACCGGCAGTGGAGGAAGAGGGAGGTCTCACTGCAAAGTGTGGCTCAGTCCTCCTGGCATCCAGCATTGCAAAGCTGCTGCTGCATGGGTGGGCTAACTGGTGGCTTCCCCCGCTGGTGCTTTGCACCAGCTGGAGCTGCGCAAGCAATGTTCCTGGCACCTCCACCTCCGCTGCCGCCTCCAGCCCACTGGCACCTCTGCCTCCTCCTCCTCCACTGTCTGATGCCCCAGCCAGCAAGGTGGACCTGGCTTGCGCTGGGAGGAGGCCGAGAAGCTGGCAATGCTGGTGCAATGTGACCGGCTGATCCAGGGCATGAACTGGCAGCTGCAGGAGCACCTGTGTGAGATCCACAAGTTGAAAGCCATCAACGGGCAGCTGCAGGTGGAGAACTGTGAGCTGCGTGACCTCTGCTGCTTCCTGCACAAGGACCGGCTGACAGCCAAGCTTCTGGCCCATTACTGTCAGCTCTTTGGGCATCACGCGGTGCAAGTCCTGCGCGATAAGTTGGCTGGCTGCCTGTGCAATCTGGCCAGCTTGGAAGGGCTGCTAACCCCATTGAGCCCCTTGCACTTCTCTGGTGCAACAGTCAATGGGGTGAGCCTGAGAGAGGGAAAGAGAGAGAGAACTGGTAGAATCCCACCCCTGAATTGCACTCTGCACTCACTCCAGCACACCCCCCCGCCACCTCTTAGCACCCCCTGCTGGTCCAGTTCCCACTTAGCACCTCCCTAAGGCATTCCACAACCCCCAGGGGGCAGTACTTGCTATATACCAATGATTGCATCTCAAACATTAAAATATTGAAGTTTGCTGATGACACAACAGTGATTGGTCTCATTCAAGACAATGATGAATCCGCATATAGACAGGATGTTATACAACTTGCCTCATGATGAAACTGGAACAATCTGGAACTGAACACACTCAAAACCATAGAAATGGTGGTAAACTT